TATTAAAGAGATTCGATTACGTAGAATATCAGATCAAAATGGTTAAAGATTTTTTTTTTTTTTTTTTTTTTTTTTTTTTATGGGAGATACATTGTTCGATCATGGGGATTTAATAATGTTAATAAATATATAAAAATAATGAAAATCCCATCGTAGGAATGTCGTTGACAAGTGGATAACGGCAGATGTTACCTTTAAATAGCAGTTGGTGTCCGCTGTGTTAAACAATTTGATTTCGTTTCTGATTGGGACCCGGGTGGGAAAAAGCATCATCGAGGGTTCGGACAAGGAAGAAAGGAAGGAAGGAGACGACGAGACGATCTTTCCTAGGCGTCGACGAATCTCGCGTTGTCCATGGGGGTTGTCTGCCTCAATCAGCGTAGCCGCAGGGTTGAAACATTATTTCTTTTTCTTTTTATCTCTTAACTCGTAAGATATTCCTCTTTCTTTTTCTCAAATATTATCGAATATGAATTTATTTGTTAATTAAAATATTCGTATTGTTGATAAATGAATAAATAAATTTTGAGATTGGAAACACACTTGGGAATACTTAAAAAAAAAAAAAGAAAAAAAAAGAGAGAGAACTATTGTCTATGTTGTACGATTTCCTAGAGTGAAGTTAAGAACATCAACAATCGGTTTTAGATCCATCCAAGTTCCCCATTGTCGCTTCTATATCCGCACATTCCAAGCAATTACGTTGGGCGGGGTAATCCCGTTAGGCGCACGTACCTTCCTCGAGGGAGGATCAAAGGTCCCCGTTATTCCAGTTTACTGAGCTCTTTTTCGCTCCTTCAAACATAGCTAGCACAATGACAATGCTGCTATTCTATCAGTCAAGGGGGCATAGAACCTACCAACTACCTTCTTATTCTTCTTCTTCTTCTTCTTTATCTTTTCATTTTGATTTTTGATTTCTTTTATATGAAAAACAGAAAAAAATGAACAACATTCTTTTAGAGATATTCTTCGAAAATTTGAAATTAATATAAAATAAATTGTAATCCTGAACATTGTCACCATTTAAAAGTAGAATAGGGTGCTTTAAGAAAGGGTGCTCTCCTTGAGTTGTTTCAAATGAGGAAGTTGAGAAACCTAGTGGTAAATTATAAGTCACGTATTCGCGTGACTCGGCACGCGAGGTTCTCTTTTTAAAAGTTTCTCAAGTGAACGACGTGTCACGATCTTGGCACCTTCTCTAGCTAAGCTTTTTCTTTCCTTTTCTTTTTCTTCTTCTATTTCTTTTTTTTTGTATATCTCGCTAAATATAATTCATCGTGATCACGCTCGATCGCGTGATTTTTCTTTAACAACGGTAGAACCAAGTTGACAAGATACACACTTTTCTATTTTCCAATTTTACACAATTTTCTAGGTCCATTAGGATTATGCAAGTATTATGATCCAATGTTCAACCCTTTCTAGGAAAATTAGAAACTAATTTCACATACATTTTTGTATACCAGTTCGTACCAGGGGTGGTGGTGGGTAGTCTGACAAATTCTAATGGGACAAATTAATAATTTAATTTTTCTTAGGTGGTGTGATTGTCTAAGAAAGATGGGGGGGGGGTGGAAAATAAGAGAAAAGAAACGTATCTCTCGCATATTTTTTTTTCCCCCTTGCTTCTCTACTTTTTCTTTCTTTCTTTTAATTCTTTCTTTTTCCTCGTAAATCTGGCAGAGCGAAGACCCATGGTCACGCGTCGTTTCCCGGTGACTTGTTGCCCACGATCCGTATCCCTTAAGCGTGTCCCTCTCCCCCTTCCCACCCCCAGTTCCTCCTGTACCGCGGTTCCGCATCGGGAAAGACCCGTTCGAGTTTTTGACCGCACGACGAAAAGTCAAAGTCGCGCGTAAAGTCGTCACGCTTTTTCCTACCCTCTTCCCCCTTCTTACACCATACAAAATTATTTCTTTTTTTGACGGATACATTTTTACACGCATAGATAAATATATTATTGAATTGAAACTTTGAAAAGTTAACGCCAATTTATGAATAGGATTCTATATAAGAAAAATATAATAAACCCTTATCGAACAATTTCCAGTTAGGAAGCATAAACGTGTTACACTTTGTGTGAAAATATTCAAATGATAAGAGTATAACAAATATTATTAGAACAAATATATATTCCTATAATCCATATTTGTATAATCTGTGATTCGTAATAAACTCCCTGAGGGGTTAACTGTATAAAATAGGTCTACTGTATAATATCGTGTATTACATCAACGTATCGTCGAGATCGTGTCAAGATTTACGTAGGATAATCGATCATTATATAATATACGAACGGGCCGCGTGCACGTTTGGAAAATAAATTATCGTCACGGTTCGATTTGTAATTCGAATTAAAGAGAGAAAAATGAAAAACTAACGGAGCTAACGAATAAGAGTTCTTATCATTTTGGCAACTCCATTATTCTTCATATTATTTCTGTCTTTCTTTTTTTTTCTGATCATTCTCTCTTCTTGTGAACGAAGTAACGCGTAGCGAGTATCCAACGGGCAACAGAATGGAATCGTCAAAGAAATGCCCGTAGCATATTGGGCATCAAAGAAGGGTGGGTTTTAGGATAGGAGACGAGTGTAGGACTATGGAGTCGTTGTCTCGCAGCTCGTATTATGTCTTTCGGTAGTACATACACGGGCACGTGCCTATGCGTGACACGTTCACGCATGGCTGCTTGGCTGCCTACGCGTTTTTCGACTCCCCCGCCATATCGGCTAGCATTCATCTCCGATTCAACGTTAGAGGAGGGTGCACGGATTGCGCTTCCACTTTAACCCTGCGTCGTTGAACGTCTATCAAGCACGAATTTCCCCTCTTGTTCCTTTTTTTCCTATCAAAGTGGCTACATTGCTTGCTAAGAAAAAAAAAGAAAAAAAATCTGTCGGATTTGACAAAGGAAAAATTGTACCTTTTTTTCTTTTTCTTTTAAACATTTTCTTATTAAATGTTTATTCCATTTTGAGATAACGATTGATAATGGAAAAAAGAAAGAGACAACAATCGGTGATCAGGTCAGATTCACGTTTGGTCGTTTGGCACGCGCCGTGTCGGACTACGTAATTATCATAGGGAAGTTAGGGTTGCCCTCGGACACATTCGCACACAAATATACACACACACGTAGACATTGGGGGGGTCGAGGTCCGCTCGCTTCGGGTCAGGAAGTCACGCGAGAGGCACACGCGCGTTCACTCGCAAGAGGAAAAAGGAAAGGGGCTGAAGGAAGTACTTTTGTTCCTAACGCCACTCGCCTTAAAGTCTTTTTTTCTCTTTTTTTTTTCCCTTTTCTTTTTTTTACCCCACCTACATTCCCTCCCCCCGCCTTCCCCAAGTCGTAAAAACCTTCTCTTCGAACGGATCGGTTTCCTTTTTCTGGATTCCATGGGTTTTTTTCTTATTAAAGTATCGTCCAACTGTTATTGGGATAATTTTAGATTAGGATTTATTGTATTATAATCAGTTCTATGTGTCTTTACGAAGTAGACATTATGAAAATGATTATAATTCGGTGAATTAATCTTCCTAAGTATAGTTGGGTATTCCTAAGTATAGTTGTTAACCGAACAATAATACCATCTTGGTAGACACAGTTCAGTAGACAAGAGTTCAGAAAAAAGGTCATTCTTATCCATGAACTCTTTCTTAAATTTTCTACGTAGAAAAGTTACCAAGAACCTTCTTTGAAATCGTGGATCGGTACTTTGCGATCAAAAGGAAGCGTGTTTTTAAAGTCCTAGCCTGATTTTTCTTACCATTGTTCTTCTTGTACAAAGTATCACGCGATAAGAACACGTTATACGGTGGAATGGTAACTAACTTATGTCTCGCGTGCAATAAATTCATTATGTAAAATGTACATTAACACGTTGACTGGCATAGCGAGAAGAAAGGGGAGGGGGGTGGGTCATACTCCTGATGACTTGTATCAGAGAACTATACCAACTTCATTTAAAAAACGAATTATATTGTTCGTTCATTAACATTTACAAGAACATTGTGTAAAACTTTAGACGATTTTCCATATATATTTGATGAATTTCTTGAACACAATTTCTCTTGAAATGATTTCACAAACACACACATACAATCTATGTGTATTTCCTTTTGAAGTGCCAAACGAAAAGATCGTCAAACGTTGTATTGTATATCGATTGTTCTAAGACACGTTAAATTTCGTCTACTTTGAATCGTTTCGCGTTGAATTTGTAGACGGGTTCCAAAGGAACAGAGGCAAAGTTTAATTTGGTTGGTTTGTACTCTTAGCAAAAGCAAAGTTAGCTATTGAACACTATAGCAAAGAGAGAGAGAAAGAGACAGAAAGAGAAGCTGTGATTTCAATTTCACGCTGGCAAAGAGCTGCAAAGGAAGACACCGAGATGATGATGGTACGTAGAGAGGTGCCAGAGGTGCCCCGGGTCACGAAACGAGTCAGACGCGTCGCCCCGTAATTTCATGAACCTCAGTGATGTCCGCTTCTCTCTACCATGTTATGGCGTCGAGTGTAAACCTGATCAAAGGCAACGTCAGAACACCACAGTCAACCCTCGTGATCGGAGAATTGTACCCTGCGGCTTACTATCTTACGTCCTCACTTCTATCACTGTCTTCTGTTTTTCGATTACTGATGGGTTTCTCTCTTTCTATCTTTCTTTCTCTGATCAAATACGTATGTGTTTACAAACGGGTGCAACCAAAAGCTATTGCAATCGTCAACGTGTTAATTAAGTCGTACTATTTGAATAGAAACATTCAAGTTATTCGAACACAATGAACATTCATTTTAAATATCTAAAATATGAATTGTGCAAGAAGTGAAGGAAGAAAAAGAAAAGAAATAATAATAAAAAAAGGAATCAGATTCGAAGATAGAAAGAAATATTTTAAGTTATGTGTAGAATTAATGTGTAAAATATACATTGATCGTATTTGTTGTGGGAACTGTTTGGTAATTCAGTAGACACCCCGGTTACGTATATGCACCTTGTGCACATTTCGCGAATATATTTTGTACGTTTAGTCTGGTAGGAGAGTGAAGTGTGCACAAGTCCTTTATACTGCAAGGTGGCCCGAGGGTAGGAGTCAACGAAAGACGATGATTGTGTTGGTGTAGGTGTCCAGAACGGTGAGCAAAGCACCGCCTGACGCGCCACTGCTTTGCCAACCGCTCTGTTGATTTCGTTGCTGTGCTGCTAGCTAGCTGGCAGCCGTTTCTCTCTCTCCCTGTCTCTCTCTGAACAACCCCTGGGGCTGTTCACTCTCGACGGTCACAAAGGGTCCGCGGTTGAACGCGCGGCAAAGCGGCATAAAGCGACGGAAAGCGCCAGGACGCCGGAATACCGGAACACCATCGGCCCACCCATATCATCATGACATCAACGAATACTCTCGTCTACGATCCCGATCTTATTCTTTATTATAGATGCTATTGATAAACGCAAATATCGAAATTTGTGTGATAAAGTTTTACTTACCCTGGCCAGGGGCCGGGGATGTCGCGTGACTCCAGCCTCCTTTGTACGAACTACTTGCATCTGTAATATTTTTAACATTATTTCATTAATATATTTTATAATAATTGTATGTGGGTAGATCATTTGTAGATATTATTATTGAATTGGTATCGATTTTGGGAAATTTTCTTCCCTATGTTATAAGTTTGCAGTTTGTTACATAGATTTTGTCTTCATTCTCATAACTACAATGAATGGAAAACCAAATTTGGTGTTGAAGAAAAATTCAATGTTATATATAGAGGCTCTAAACATTCATATTTGTCGCTGGATTATAATGTTTTAGATTGTAGCATTTAGAATGGACAATTTTTGGCACGTTTTAGGATATGGTGTTGTCGATGATTTCAATGAAAATTATATTAGAAGACTTTGTTAGTTGATACAGAAAAAATAAACTTACTGTGCTTCATTTAGTTGTCTTGTTTTTTTTTGTTCTTTTTATGAAAAAAAAAAATGGTTTGGAAGATAAATTCAAGGGGAAACGAATTTTCACGACTTTTGATGCAGTCTCGAGCGCCGGCGGTCTGTTTACAGACAGATATATTTTCATTTGGCAGTTATTGGCACGAGGGTGGCCAGCATGTGTACATACGCTACGGCAGTATGTCAAGCTGTAGCAGAAGCTTGGTCTTTCTAGGCAAACAACGACTTAGTCGCGAACGTTGAATCGACCTTTTGCTTCTTACTTTCTTGTCTCCCTTCGTTTGGTCTAAGGGTGTACAGTCCATTAATAAAGCCTCGAGTTTCATGTTTCCGAAGACATTAAAATCGATCAACGTAAAACGTGATGTAATCTCTGACACACCAAATATCTACCTAGGTAGTATTGTCATCGTGTGCAGTGTATATGCTGCGATTTTTTCTTTTTTTGCCAAACTACTATAGGTCACCTAGGTCAAGGTTGCCAATATGAGTCAAAAAAGTGCATAGCTAAAATAATAAACGAAATTATTCTTGGATCTGCAATCCCGAATAAGTATCTAAGTTTAAACAGAAGTTTAATGTATCGATATTTTTGTAGATGTGAATTTGATTAATAGCCAAGAAATTTGGATGACTTGTTGAAAAAGACAACTATCGTATCTGTTAGAATCTATCTTTTTAAAAATATAACAAGTACAACATTTATACAATTGTTGAATGCAACGAGACCTAACGAATACTACTCGACCTGATCTCATTCAACACGTAATCAGCTGACCGCCTTCCAACAAATAACGATGAATATCTACGACGAAATGATGATATTCTACTATCACAAATATATCCGACGTACCGGCAAAAAGCATGGAGAGGTTGGTGAAAGCTGTTGTACGTGGTAGTTCCGCGGTGGTGGTACCAGTGCTTTTGAGGTCCAGCATCGCGCGGTTTGCCACCGGCGCGGCAGGTAGCCTCGAGTTTTGGCCCCCCCTCTGTTGATGGGCCTGATCCCTCAGTTAATAACGCGTTAACACTGTTGTTCTTAATAATCACTGGATCCCAACACGACTCGTCGATCATATCACAAGAGGGATTGCTTGCTCGGATTCGTTCAAGATTGAACAAGAATGTCACGAGAATTATCTAATTTCAAATGGATTATTTTTGTCGTCGGATGATTCGCGAAAATATAAATAAATGATTGGACGATAAAGGTGCCGATCATCTTGTCTACCCGCTCCGAGTAACACTGCTGATTTTCTAGTCTCCGAAGAGTACAAGTTTGAAAACGACGACGACGTGCCTATACGCCGAACCCGCCCTCCGTCACGATGCCACTCGGGGGTTGGCTCGTAAACGCGACACTAGGGGCGGTCTCTATCCAAGGATTGACACCCCCGTGCAAGATGGGGGTGAAAGGACGCTTGCGCCCTGCACCTTTCTTTTCTATCTCTCTCTCTGTTTCTCTCAATAGAGTAAACCGATATCGCAATTCTAGTACTTCTTGCCTACGGTGCCGACGGCGAAACCTGACGACTGACTCCTCGAGTCGGACCTTGACCGGATACCTCTTCTCTTACTCTTACCTTCCTTCTTCTTCTTATTCTTATTCTTCTTCTTCTACCTAAGCTTTAGCCCGACCACTCTTCATTCTTATCAACATTCTTATCGGTCTCATACCACTCTACCGGTACGATTATCGGTTCACCGTTTTCCCTTCCACTTGAAAAGAACTCGACATTTTCTATGTCTTACCGAATCCCTAACATTGCTAGATTAGTCGACGAGAGATCAGTTGAGTAGTTTAAAGTGTGTGTTCAATATTATCAACTCTATCATTTCTATGTAATATAGAATATTTACTAATTCTTATAGATTACATAGAACTGATATCACAATTGCATAGATTTGTAACATTAATTATTCAAGTTAGTTGAGAATGCAAACGTTAATATATCAAGTATCATTCATATTTTATTTAATTGGATAGCAGCCCTGTAACTAGTTATTATGAATGACCCTAAAAGAAAAACGCGTAACTAAACAATACTAATCGTTAATGGAGCATTCCTAGAAACGATACGAATTGAAATATCGTTTTGAAGCACGTCGATGAACGGGAACGGGCTGGAAGTGGCCTTTCTGAACGTTCACCAACACACTGAGCTAACACTTAGTAACGAGTAACTGTGATTCATACTACTGGGATAATTCTGGACGTTCGACGTTAGGTAAGGCCGTTTAACCGTGACGTGGGAGTTGGTGTTGGTTCTGTTATAGCGAACGTAGAGAAAGAGAGAAGGCCCTTTTCCCCCCCGTTTCACCACCATAACCGATAGAAACGGCACGCGCACGACACGCGACCGCGTACAGCCAGCGGCGCATTTAACGCGCGATCGCTCTCGAGTGTCCGCGTGTACGTTCCTGGGGGATGCCAAGGGGGTTAAAGTGCGCCTGCGAAGGGAGAAAGCCGATGGTGCTACTTTTCTGCGATACTTACGATACCCCGCACTCCCGATCCCCTTTACCCGGCTTTCACCACCCTCACCCCGTCGTCGTACCTCTATAGTGTACTTTAAGTTGCCTGTTGGAGAAGAATTGGCAAACTCCAGATAGAGAGTTCGAGTGGATAATACCAGGTAGAAGTATGAATAGATATTGCCTCAAGTTTATCTATTATATACATCTATTTTTTAACTATTATATACTATCTTTTCAATCGTTGAATAAGAAATATGGAACTTTAACATATTGGAGAGAGTTTTCTAAGTTGAATAAAATAACATAAATGTAACATCGTCAAATTGGAAGATTTCTTTAGGAGTATTTTTCACCCAAGTGATAGTAGAGTTACATTTGGATAATAATACAAAAGTTAGATAAGTTTGAACATGGATCGTGTTCTTTTTCAATTTCCCCATATACTTTTTCGACTAAAAGTTTAACTTAAAAAAAAGAAAAAGAAAAATAAAAAAGAACATTCACGTGGGAAGGATCTTTTAGGATACAGAGGATCGTATGTGCATATATATATATATATATACACATACGTGTACATACACTCCCGGTGATTTTCCGTGAGTGCATGTATCTTGAGATACTGGCGTAGTGGTATTAATGACCAGCCAACGTTTCTCTTCGGTATAGCTCGTTCGCTTGGTCGTACACGGGCTGTTAGTGCGGGGGCGCGGAATATCATTGTACGCCATGAGACATGACAGGGCGGCTATTGTAACGCGAGACGCATAGCTGCGAGAAGGGAATAGAAGAGAAGAGAAGAGAGTTGCGAGGGAGCTCGAACCAACCAACTCCCACCCCCTCCCCCTCCCCAAGAGCCTGTCGAAGCATCGAGCTACCTCAAACTACCCCTTGCTCCTTTCATCCCCTAGCCCCTTCCTTCCTTCCAACAACCTCCACCTCCTCCCTTTCTCCTCAGCATTCGTTTCCCTCGTTTCTCGTTCCCTGCACGCTGTAACACGATAAGAACCGTGTCACTTTGTTGCGTTTGTGGGGGAGATCTGCTTAAGTGTACGATGATACATATCTCCAACGGCTACCAGATAATTCTTCGTATTCAATTTGTACAATATGCTTGGGATCCCTGCTTTTGGAGCCGATGGCATCGCGCCTATCCACGCACCGGCAACTTTCAAACCATCGAGCAACCAGCTAACCAACCAACCAACCAACCAACCAACACTATCAGTCTAACGTTGTGTTAGTTAGTACGTGATATTCCTATCTGAAAATATGTTTGTCTCTTTTTTTTTTTTACTACTACCTCCTCTCTATCATTCCAAGCAAACAGGCAACCAGCCAGCTAGCCACCTAGAGAACCGCAAATAGAATTTAAGAACCAGCGACTCTTTGCATAGCATTTTAAAGAAGAACACACTTGTGAACACGTTCTACTGGCATGTTTGTCGAACTGCACGCGGCATCGATACAAAGACTTCCGTTTACATTAAATAAATCCAACACAACAATCCCCCCAACCCCGTCGTCATCTTTCGATTCATCATCCTTTTTCGGTCGAATAAGCGTGAATATTTTATATTTGTAAATTTTCTTTTTATTCTCTTTAGTTTGTGGTAAGAAAATTAGTATTCCGGATTTACCGTGAAGGGTATTACGCGAAGTGATCATAAATTTTCTTAACTCTGATCTAATCTTGACAATTCCAAATCTTTGTATAACCGAATGTTCAGTTTCTTTGATAGAATTATAAGAAAACGCGTATTTGGAAAAATTAAAAAGTTGTAACGTAAGAGAGAAATACGTAAGAGAAATCGGCTTAAGAGGGAAGAAGGGTGATGATAGCTGTAGAAGCAAAAGCCATTAATTACGTTACGGAAGAATGCAGTCGTTGGTTCAAACAAAGGACCTCGTGTACATCCCCTAAAGTTCACAATGCGTATATGTCGTTCGTCTACGCTTCATATATCCAGCCTAATTATCTTGAATTTGCATATCTCCAGTCTCGGTGAAGCAAACGACTTGGTGGAGCTTTTGTTGCCATCAGTGGGACATCATTCGCTTTATGATTCTCCTTACAACGCGTAGTAGTTCTCCAATCAAACTCCTAACTTCGATTTCCC